CCTGATGGATAAGATACGCCGTAGCTGATTGAGGTCCTGTTCATTCACGATTGAAGGTACTTCGTTTACGGTCCAGTGAGCTTCTCAGGCAGCCCGTTGACCCCTCCGCTCACAGGCACCCCCATGCCACAGGCGTTCGTCATGCTCTGCCTGCAATGGCTGGTGCCGGTGCTGTTCCTGCCTAAGCCTCTTCACCCGTTCATGCTGTCAAACCACGCCGTGCTGGTGGCGCTCTACATGGTCGGCTGCCTCCTGGAGAAGCGACCGTGCATGATGTGCACGCTGGTCGTCATCCTGGCCACCATCGGGTTCTGCATCTCGGACCAGGGCAGGTGTCTGCTGTGGGGCGAGAGCTGCGCTCAGCACGCGGTCTGACTCCACGCGGACGGACGACGGTGGAACCGGCACGGGCAGGCAGAAGCCTGGACAGTAATAGAACGGCCCCCGCAAGTGTATGTGGCGCGAACTTTCACACGCGTAAATATAGCATAATCATGTTCGGACGCTAGCGAAGCGAGTCTTACGGACGATGGTGGAAGAAGATCGCAGCACATAGCTGAGTGGTCGGAGGATCCCTAGTCAAACGACCGGGAGGCCCACAGCGGGTCCGAGGGTCCGCACGTGAGTGGTCGGAAGATGCCGAGCCGAGTGACCGCGCGGCCTTACGTTAGAGCGGCAGGATTCTGAAATGTGATTGAACACGTCCGAGTCGCCCTACGTCGCTCCTTCATATGACTGTTGCTAACAGACTCGCCGGTGTCATGTATCGTCTCTTCGGTGCAGAACGCAGGCGTCGCCGTGTCGATGAAGGCAGGCAGGTGCTCGTGTGTGAATCGTGGTTCATACGTTCATGTCCTGAGTCAGTCGTCTCGGCTGAACGAATCGCTCAAGAATGTGACCAGGTTAAGCGGTCAAGTGCTCCCATGTCTCAGCGGTATGGAGTTCATGATGTCTGCACGACTAAACTGCTCTTTGGCCACCTACCGATGTCCTTTTAGGCAGTGGGAGTCTAACTGGCCAACTCAAGCCTCATGACCACGCTCCGGTCTCGTGTGGGGCGTGTTTGTTTTGTGTTTCTGGGGAAGCATCGCACCCGCATCGAACACGTGTCAATGACGAAGACGTGCGGGGTGACTGGACAAACAACGTAGTCAGAAACACGGCCCGTGGTGGTGGTGTCGGCTAGTCACCGTTACAGTGGTATGTCTTCTACGCGGTATGTCTACTACGCGGTATGTCAACTACGTCTGTCGACGCAGAACTGAGTACGTATTCGCAGACCATGAGGGCCGGATGTGGTCTGTTACACGGCACGGTACAACGCATTCACGGCGGATGCGGTACCACTGATGGACAGATGGCAACATCAGAGATGAAGTATGCACGTGATGGGACTTGTAACGCTCCGCCACTGCGTGAAACGGAAAGTTTTGTGATGTTATCCATATGTTTATAGATGGTATACAAGTGACACCAGTGTGCTATCTGGCGAAAATGCGCACATTGCCGACCGCGTGTGGTTTATTTGCTTGACCAAAGTATTGCCTGAGTGCCCATGACATTCTCTTCCCTCTTCCGCTTGTCGCCTGGGACAACATAATCAGATCATATCTGCACCTTGTAAACGCTGAACAGTACTAAAAAGATGTGTGCATGCGTTCTTCTAGGTAAGGGTGAAAAGGCGGTGCGCGGGTCTCAGAGACATCGTTCTGTGCCACGCGCTTTTGCCAGATCACATGACTGATTTACATTACGTGTTTGTGATATCAGCAAATCCAGTCGGCTGTTTGTGCAAGACCCAAGTTGGAAAATTGTAATACATATGGGGTGAGCCGGCGCGTTAGCACTAAAAAATCGCACCGTTGCCTCAGCGCACGACAGTACGCTTCAGGTTACTGTAATGCACTCACAGCTTCGCATCGCATGTAAATATGCTCCATTCCTCCGTCTGCATCATTGCTTCTGAATACCCTGTGCGGACCGCTCACGCACGTCCCAATGCTTGTCATAAACCAGTCATCACTAGCGGGCCATCCTAGCGAGTGGAACCGCGGTGTGTTTCGATCACCACCCGTGCCCGGTTGCGCCACTCGAACGCCGGCTGCGGAGTCTCGCAACACCTGAGGCCAGTGGCCAGCCGCGCCGCGCGTGTGTCGCCAGCCACTGGTCGCGCCTCGGGGAGAGCTGCTGCGAAATCGCCGGCCGGCCGGCCGGGCAACTGCGCTCGACACGCGGCGGGCCCGGCCGCCGCCAGCCGCTGCGAAACCACCGGCCGGCCGGCCGGCAGCTGCGTGCGCCACGCGGCGGGCCCGGCGGCCGCCAACCACGGCGAACCGGCGCTAGGGAGGGCGTCCGTCTTTACGGGGGGCGAGATAGGTGGAGCCGATTGCTGCGTTTGGCTGCGTCACCGGCTTCAGACGGTGATTGTGCAGGGATGGTCCTGCGCCGCTTCGCGACAGCTGGTCGATCTGACGCACTTGCGGTTTACTTAAGCGGAACGGGGCGTCATTTCTTGCACTGGAGCTAGGCGAAGTGGCAGCGGTGTTTGCCGCTGTTGCGATGAGTTCGGTGACTGAGAGATGCAAGTTTGGTGAGATTGTGTGGGGGAGAACGCGATAGGCATTACCGGCCGGACCGGTTTATAGTACTACCGCTGGGAGCATAATGGCTCGGTGGTTACGATCGGTGGATACGATGGTGTGAAGGGCCATGGTTAGGGTCGCGCTTGCCGGACGTGCTAATAGAACAACCGTGGTTGTTTGAAGTTCCGCGAAGCTGTGCGTAACCACGCAGTCTTGTTTTCGTAACCAATTGTTGACAATTGGGAACTACGTTGTTAAAGTGAGTGAGGAGGCCACTTCGTGTGTTTGCGTGTTGTCTCTGGCTTGTATACACTGGAATATATGGTGCTGTTGGTATGCTATGCTGCTTCAAGAATTTGCGCAATGCAATTTGGAAAGATGTGCGAATGGTTATCAGAAGCTTGCGAAATCGAGCGCCTGTCGTGTCGCTTCCTTTCCCAACTTCCCGCCATCTCTTACAATTGCAAGCACTGTCTTGCGTAATTGCACAAACGACAGTACTGCATTTGGCCATCGTCGTTTTGCACATGATCTTGAAGCTGGCTTTGAAGCTGAACGGTGTTGGAACCGTTGCTCTTCGAACATACTGCCACAGATCAACCCGCTGCCCCTTTTTGACTCCCTGGCGGCTCCCGGGGCAGGTAATCAAGGCGTCCGAGACGGGCTGGCGTCTCACACGGGCTGGCGTCCCAGGCAGCCTGCCGTCTGCGACAGACTGCCGCGCCTGCTGGACTCCTGCGCCCGCTGTCCCAACACATCACCAGCCGATCGTGTGACATGATCATAACCCAATCCTGTCACCCGGCGTGACCGACCCCAGGCCACCGCCCCAGAGGCGGGGCCGCATGGCCTCAGTGTGGGTGCCGCGTCGATGGGAGCCACGCAGCCGTCTCCTGGACTGCTCTTACAAGGAGGGGGGGGGGGGGGGGGGGGGGGTTGCAGTGAACGAATGTGGCAGGCAAGCGCCCGACTAACGCACATGTTGATTGTGTTGCGGGCGAAGGTAAAATAGCCCCCCCCCCCCCCCGGCTACCGCAGCGTGACTTAAGTCACGACGGTGAATACTATGAGGCGATTGTCGAGGCCACACGGGAACCGGTCAGCGCTGAATACAATCAATAAAAACCGGTCGGCCTCCGCCACGTTTCCTCTGTTCCGGGCTTTCTTGCCACTGGTTGTGTGCCCGATTGTGTGGCGCCGGCTGAAGGTTGCTTGTCAGTGGGGTGCCGGACTGGCTTTGATGAGGCATGTTCGTTTGCGCCATGCCCCAGATGTGTGACCTCAGCAAGGGCGGGTCCGGGGGGAGGGCAGGGGTGGGGTGTGTGGGAGACAGCTGGGCTATGCCTCCCCCCTAAAATAGTCGGAGTCGGACGAAGGATGACATTTGTGCACGCTGAAAAAGAACCTGCTTATGCTAATAGAAGTTTGCACAGTTTTGGACTTTGAGAAAATCTTAAGCAACCGATGCGGAGGGGAAGTATGTTTCACGTTACGAACCCTGAAGAAAATTATGTTACTTAGGCTGATTAAATTTGTTTCACATTTGTAACCTTTAAGGAAATGGGAACAACCTATGCGGACATAAGCTTATCTATGCGGACATAAGTTAAGCTAGGGACAGCCCTTGAGATAAAAGAGCAGGACCCGGATTATATGCATTAAGGTTAGTGCAGTTTTTTTTACTCTTCCGTCCCCAAGCCGGCGTTGGCTCCTCCCAGAGAGGCGCCTGGGTCCGCCCTTGGATCTCAGCAAGGCTGTATGCAGATGATTTCCTCCAAGTGCGCTGTGCAGTCAGAAGTGGACATCGTTTCACAAGCTTTATGCGGGCTATTAGGATTCAAGGCGGGACCTAATATTGCACACTCTTAAAGACCTGCCTTCGGGTACCTCGGGCATGGCGGGCCGGGAGAAGGGGGAGGGGGCGACTTTCAGTGCTAATTCACACATAAATTGTGCGAGCTTTTCCCCCTCCCGTAAACATAACGGGCGGTATGCAGTTTGCAACTCATACCTACGTCGTTTTGTTGAATCTTATGGTTGACCCGTAGGCTTGGATCGAGCTAGGTCAAACACGTTTTGCAGTCGTAGTTTGCGGTCGTGACCGTGTGTCCATGCCTGCTCCTAATGACCACTTCAGGGCAAGCGTCGCGTACCTCACCGATGACCGCTCTCCGATGACGTGTGATTACCCGCCGGTGGCATGAATATCTCTCAGAAGCCCTGTCGTGGACCGTGTGCCACACACTCGCATTATTAGTGGAAGAACGCTGAGCAGTCGAGCATAGCAGAGCGTGACACGGTCCCAGTAGCTCTGCTATGCTTGACACGGTGCGCTCGTAAACCCCAAACAGGATCGTCCAAGGGCGGTCCCGATGAGCACTGTCGTGTGCGCCCAGTGACGGTCCTGCGCGCCCGCAGCCATGAAGACGCTGGACGCCTCGCCGACGGTGGCCCACCTTTCGGGCGTGGTGCACAGCCGGCGCATGGGGCGCACCTTCAGCATCGGCGACATTGACCCGGACACCTTTACGCGCATCAAGAACTATGACGAGACCGTCTCCCGGCTGGACCACTACTACGGCGTCGGTCAGTGCGACCGGGCGGCGGGCCGGCGTGGAGCGGGACCCCGGGCGGGGCCGGGGAGGCAGGCTGAATCTGGCTTCAGGACGAGGGCGAAACGTAGGGAGAGGGTGGTAACGTTGTCTAGAATGCTACTTTTGTGCTTAAGTTGACTGATCGTTGGCCGTCAAACGCGCGAGCGATTGGGAGCGGGCGCCACCGGGCGAGTGTGCGGGCTGTTTCGGTGCTGACACAACAGCCCGTGGTTATCGACAGCCGTATCGGTCACGTCTGTTTGGAGACGCTGACCCGGCTGGAGCGTCCGGCTGCCAGTGGTGCGCCAGTTGATACAGTATGTCCCAGAGACGCCGCCTTACCAGACTCTGATCCTGACACTGATCCTGACACTGACCCAGACCCTGACCCTGGCCCTGACCCTGACTCTGACTCTGACGCTGACCCTGACCCTGACCCTAACCCTAACCCTAACCCTAACCCTAACCCTAACCCTAACCCTAACCCTGACCCTAACTGACCTTGCCCAGACCGTGACACTAAGTCTGACTCTGTACCCAGACCATGCCCGTGGCCGTGACCCGACCTTGACCCGGCCATGACCGTAACCTGATTTTAACTGACGTTGACCCTGATCCAGACCCTGTGTGATTCGGACCTTGACCGTGACCCGACCCTAATTCTGGTCCTGAGCCGACCCTGACCCTAACCCCGATCCGACCTTGACCCTGACCCGGCCCTGACCCTGACGTGGCCCCTGACCCAACCCTGACCTGACGCGACTTTGACCCAAGCCCTCGCCCTGACCCAGCCCCGTTGTCCGTCCGCCAGTGAAGCGCCAGCTGATCGCCAACCAGAGCTTCCTGACGGGCCAGTTTCCGGAGAGCTCGGCCGAGCGGGTGGTGTCGGACGTGCGCACCAGCCTTTACTGCACCTTCGCCATCTGGTGCCTGCACCAGGCATACAAGTGAGCGGGTCAGCGGGGAGGATGGCGCCGCAGGGGGCAGAGCGTGGGCCCAGCCACGGGTCCGCTGGGCTCGGGACGGTGGTCAGTACGCTGGCAACCTGGACGCGCCCGGTGTGTTTGTGTTCGTACCGATACTTGAAAAACGAGCGTACCGTTAGCGAGCGATGGGCGAGGTAGGCTCAAGCAGTTGTGACGTTGGGAGCGCTGAAGATACGTAAAAGTGCACAGCCGTCGAGTGGTGTCAGTTACCAAGGTATTTCACCTCACTGCCGCCTGTTTGTCGCGCTGCCGTGACTCCCTCACTCTGCTCTTCCTTCCCCTGCTGCACCACGGCCTGTCTCCAGAGCCGCCGGCGACCCGGCTGACATCTCCTGACCTCGTCTGGCCTGCCGCAGGCGAATCGACGACGACCGCGGCAAGACGTTCGAGCTGGGCCAGTCGGCCGTCAAGTGCATGCGCGGCATCCTGCTCTCGTGGATGAAGCAGGCCGACAAGGTGGAGCGCTTCAAGGCCAACCAGACGCCGCACAACGCGCTGCACTCCAAGTTCCACCTGCTGACCGGCGACGAGGTGCTCTCCTGCGAGCAGTACAACCACCTGCAGGTGGGTCCTGACGTCGAGGGAACAGAGGCGCCGGCACGGCTCCGGGCGGACGGGGCCCCGGCCGCTCTGTGCGGTGCTGTGCTGAGTGGGAAGACGGCGCCGGGACGAGAGCTGCCGGGGCTGGCGGAGCTGGTGAAGTGGGTGACGGCTCCTCTCCACCCGGCAGATTGACGTGGTGTCGCTGTACCTGCTGTTCCTGGTGCAGCTGACCTCCTCCGGACTGCAGATCGTGTTCAGTGTGGACGAGGTCAGCCTGGTACAGAACCTGGTGTATTACGTGGAGCGGGCCTACCGCACGCCCGACTTCGGCATGTGGCAGCGTGGCAGCAAGTACAACAACGGCTCGTCGGAGCTGCACGCGAGGTGAGGCCGCCGGCGGCGGCGGGGCGGGGAGCGCGGGCGGTCCGCAGCGACTCGCGGTCGGCGGCAGCGAGGCGACGACCAGTAGGCGGCGACGAACAGCGATGACCGTTTGATTTTCGCATTCCGTGGTGAGGGAAGACACCCCATCAAGGGTGTTGAATTTCGGTGTGGAGCAATGTCTCCTCTGTCGCGTTTACTGCACGTCATCCCCGTCCACCTCCGACACATAACCCACATATCCGTCGTACCTCTGACCCACAGCCTACATTTCTCCCCCACCTCTGACACGACCCACATCTCCGTCCCACCGAGGACCCACGACCCACATCTCGGTCGCATGTAGGAGCCACGGCCCATATCTCTGTCCTGTATCTGACACACGACCCGTGACACCTGGTCTGCACGCTAGCTCGATCGGGCTGGCCAAGTCGGCGCTGGAGGCCGTCAATGGCTGCAACCTGTTCGGCGACAAGGGCGGCTCCCAGTCGGTCATCTACGTCGACATCGACGCCCACAACCGCAACCGCACCATCTTCGAGACGCTGCTGCCGCGCGAGTCCAGCTCCACGGTGCGTGAAGGCCCCGAGGCGCTGTCCAGTGATGTCAGGTCGACGACGGCTCGACTGCGCTGGACGTCTCAGCGGGGGTCATTGGGAGGATGACGACCGAAGGTTTAATTAATTGTTAAATGAATTTCCGCCGCCACCTCTTATCTATTTTGTGTACGATTGAGGTAAAGATGGCTTCGTCGCGTGTTTCAGTAACTGCCCTCTGGCGTCATGTTGTGTTTTAGGTGTTTTGCGCAGCTCGGATAGGAGCCTTTAGCGAATAAATGCACTGTGCTGATGCTGTGGACACTGCTGCTTGCGTCACTGTAGCCAAGCATGTGCGCGTTGGACGCCACGTCGCGTTGCAGTGACGGCCCTGGTGGCGCGCGTGTCACGTGTTCGTCCGTGGTGTACCCGGTCAGATGGGTGGAGTGGCTGTCGATGCCCGGGTGGATTGCATGACTTCGTCCGGCCCTGCTCGAGGCTGAGTCATTATCCATGGCCACGGTTAGGTCGGACGCGTGTGTCTGGCTGTGGTGAAATGTCAGTGCTGGTAGCTGCTGGGCGACTTGTTTCCTTGTTGTTGCATTTCTGTCAGCGCGCTTGGCCGTAGCCGTTTGGCGTGCCCCTTCAGTAAGCTGCACCAGTCCATATCCTGTGCTGTTGCCGGTCCCTGACGGGTCTGTGCTGACTCCTCAGCCCGTCCACACTTGCCTGGGGCTTCGCTTCAGTCGGCTGCCGTGTCCCCACCAGCTGATGTATCTACCCTGCCGCGTCTCCACCAGCTGACTTGTCTTCCCGACTGTGTCCCCACCAGCTGACGTGTTTACCCTGCCACGTCCCCACCAGCTGACGTGTCTACCCTGCCGTGTCCCCGTCAGCTGGCCTGTCTTTCTGGCCGTGACCTGTCAGCTGACCCGTCTGCCCTGCCGTGTCCCCGTCAGCTGATGTGTCTCCCCTGCCGTGTCGTCGTCAGCTGACGTGTCTCCCCTGCCGTGTCGTCGTCAGCTGACGTGTCCCCCCTGCCGTGTCCCCGTCAGCTGGCCTGTCTTTCTGACCGTGACCTGTCAGCTGACTCGTCTGCCCTGCCGTGTTCCCGTCAGCTGATGTGTCTCCCCTGCCGTGTCGTCGTCAGCTGACGTGTCTCCCCTGCCATGTCGTCGTCAGCTGACGTGTCTCCCCTGCCGTGTCGTCGTCAACTGACGCGTCTGCCCTGCCGTGTCGTCGTCAGCTGACGTGTCTCCCCTGCCGTGTCGTCGTCAGCTGACGTGTCTCCCCTGCCGTGTCCCCCTCAGCTGATGTGTCTCCCCTGCCGTGTCGTTGTCAGCTGACGTGTCTGCCCTGCCGTGTCGTCGTCAGCTGACGTGTCTGCCCTGCCGTGTCGTCGTCAGCTGACGTGTCTGCCCTGCCGTCGTCCCCAGTCGAGCGACATGGCCCTGCTGATGGCCATCTCGTTCCCGGCGTTCGGGACGCACGACCAGCTGCTGTACTCCAAGACCAAGTCCAAGATCGTCAAGAAGCTGCGCGGCAAACATGGCTTCAAGCGGTTCGCCCGTGACGGCTTCGGCACCGTGCTGGAGGACACGTCCTCACGCTTCTACAAGGACGGCACCGTCCAGGTGTGACGTAGCTGCGGCGAGGAGCAGATGGCGGGGGAGGGGGAAGTGGGCTCTGTGACGTAACCTGTCGATTGGTGAGCGCGGTTGAACGTTACCGACCTTATCGCTTATTTGTGTCGTGGAATCGATGTGACAGGCCTGCGTGTACACAGTGTGTGACGCTCCTGACTGGAGATGAAACCCGTTTATACAACACAGGTGTCTTGGTTTTCGCGGCGCCACGCGTGTGCAGGTTCGGACGGAGGCACTGACCGCCGTCTGTGTGCCGTGTGTTCGGCAGAAGTTTGAGCGGATTGAGAGCGAATGGCCGCTGTTCTACATGTACATGATCATCGAGGGCGTGTTCCGGAGCGACATGAAACAGGTGGACGAGTACAAACAGCTGCTGCGGCCGCTCATCCACTACGATCGCCGCACGGGTACGTTCGTACCCGCCCTCACCGTATGCAGTTAGATGGGGGTACCGTGCTGCTGGCGGGGAGCGGCGACTGTATGGCGGCTGGAATGACTGTTGGCTGGAATGAGCTGAGGTTAATTGAATGCTTGTGACACTTTTTTGCTTGGTCGGATCTTATTTTACGTCGAGGCGTAGCTGGATTTATGGCTTGGGGACGGTGTAACACTCCCATAACGCGTGACGTCGCCTATTTTTGTGACCGATTTAAATCTAACGTCGCGCCCGACTAACTAACGGCAGGCCTCTGATCGGGCTTTAAATCTAACGCCACGCCCCGACTAACTAACGACAGGCCTCTGATCGGCCTTTGGCTGTACAGGCGCTTTTGTACCCCGCCCGCGCCGACCTTGCACCCGTCCGAGTTTGTTTTGCACCCCGTCGGCGAGAATTAACACGTGCTGTCGGTTTCCAGAGGAGGAGAGCTTTGGCGGTGAGTAGTAGCTTGATACGCACCCGTCCCGCATGGCATGACCCCCGCCTGTCTGTTGAGGTGGCCAGGGTGGCTCGGTCCGTCCTGGGTCCGCTGGCATCCGCTGATGCCGTCAAGCCCATCACCTAGCAGCTGTTGCGTTCACCGCCTGCTGACAGCACCCTCAGCAGCAGTCACCACGGCTGTCGTGATCGTCCGCTAGGACCCGTGATCACCGCCGCCTGCCGGCGCACAGTATCGGTGACGTTCACGCGGTGACGTTCACGCGGTGACGTTCACGCGGTGACGTTCACCGCCGCCCCGCGGCTCTGCGCTTGCGTGTGCAGCGTTGCTCGCCTGCCTCGTGAGTGTGCATGCCCGGCGGTCGGCAGCTGACGGGCTTGTCGGCCGTCGACCCCGAGCCGATATGCCTGGCGCCCTGGCAGTGGATGGCGCCGCGTTGTGGTGTGTTTGTGTGTGGTGTGCTTTCTCCTGTCGTTTGCTCTCAATGCTTTGCGCTGCTTGTCAGATTTTAGCCCCAGATTTCTGTTCACGATCTCGGCGCATTTCCTCTTCTACTTTCGTCTGAATCAAGGTATTTGTAACACATTGGTTTTGGGGACTTATGGGCTGATTTGGTTCTGTAATGTGTTGGTATGGTATGATTGTGCTCACATGTCCCTCTCCTTAGTAGAAGCTGCGCTTTTGCGTTTGTGATGGATCGATGCTTTAAAAGTTTTTAAGGACAATGTTATCCCTATCCACCGTGCATACCCAGGCGAAGTTTTATACAGCCGCACGCACACACGCACACACGCACACAGTCGTCACGCGTTTCCTAGATGCCGCTTTGCTCTGGTGTGTGGCGTGTCTGTTCGAATGCGTGGTACGGGCTGCCGTGCTACCTGGAGGCGTTGGGCTAACATGGCAGATCAGCGTGCCCCGTCCACTGCTGGTGGTGCGTGCTGCCATCTGTGTGCCGTGCAGATGTCCGCCAGCCGCCCGGCACCCGAGACAGCGGGGTATCCGGTGTCAGAGCCACCCCCCGGCACGCAGCAACACTGACCTGTTACGTACACCAGACAAACGCGTGGCGTTTACAGTGCACCTCACAAAAAAACAGTAGACGGAGTACAGTACGCAAAAACGCAGCATACGTATTCCGCTTAAAAAGATGGTATACGTTGTACACTAGACAAATACAAGTATGTATAGTAGCCCGGACAAAAAAGCGGTATGCTTAGTACAACAAATGAAAATATTTTATACTGAGCATACCAGGTAAAAGCACTCGTAGCCCAATGTGCGTTGTTATTCGCTTCTGGCCGGTGCCCTCTGGGACTCGGCCAGATTTCGATTCAGGTTAGTCGTCGGTGTGCCAGTTCCAGAGATGTTTGTAAAATTGTGTTCTTTAGTCGGTCTCCACTGTAGTCCTGTCCTCGCGCCATAGCCTCACACTGCTCTAGACTCATACTGGTGGCTCTCCGGCCATAAGCATGGCGAGTCCACAAAGCCAGCCCTGCGGACCCCGCGCTGTCCCGGTGCCCCCCCCCCCATGGTTAATCCTGCGGTACATGACTTCGAGCTGGACACTGCGCCAGTCCCCACACCCCGTCGTGCCTAACGCCAGCGCTTGTGCTGGGGCTCGGCTGTTCCCCTCGCCCCGTCCGCGTCCCCCTCTGCCCCCCCCCCCCCCTGTGGCGCGTCTGCAGCGCGTGTGACGCGTGTCGGGCCGGCCGGCAGACCCGACACTGCCGCAGTACTACTTCGTGCCGGCCGAGCACGTGCCGGCAGAGCGGGCCGAGCCCGGCAGCCAGCCGCGCTTCGCCAGCGCCGTGGGCGGCCCGGGCGACCTGTTCCTCTGGGGCCAGGCGATGCTGGTGGTCACCGAGCTGCTGCTGGAGGACCTGGTGCACATCAACGAGATCGACCTGATCCGGCGCTACCTGCCCTCATACAACCGGCCGCGCCGCGCCACGCGCTACTCCGCCTTCCAGGTGAGGGTGGGACCGGGCGGAGGCCCGATGGAGCGGGTCTGTCGCTGATCCCGGGGGCATGGGACCGGGGAGGGGAGGGAGGGAGTGGGGCAGGCGGCGAGGGTGTACGGGCCGCAGTACCGATGGAGACCGTGGTGGTTTGAAGGAGCGCAGTAAAGTCGCTTGCTGTGCAATGTAATGCCCCTATGGCTGTAGTCATAGGATACGTGTTAGTGCTGGACTTCCCGCTGTCATTGCCAATGTTTCGCATAGAAAATTCGATCATCAATGTTCTGTCGATTCTCGCGCTCAGTCTTGCGCTATTTGCCAGCTGGAATCTGATTGCAAAGCAAGGCAGCGCAGTTTGGTGACGGTCACCACCTGCAGCTGTCAATGCTGGACATTTCGTCGAAGATTAGGGCAGTCCCACCTGTCGCGGGGTCTGTAGGATGTTCCTTTGCATTGTTCCTGAACAAAAACGTCGTCTGCCTTGCCTGTCTCTACTACATCTAATGTATTTTCACTCATCCGAACCGGTAGGCATTCAAGTACAAAGTTGCTTTCCTCCGTCTGCCACCTTACCTTTCTTCTTCACCTGTCTTCTGCGTACACCATGTCTTTGCTGATTATTTGGCCATCATTGATTGTCGGCTGTTATTTATTAGTGGTGTGTTTCACTTATGATCACGTAATTCTCACGCCGGATTTTCGCTGAACTTTGCACCTTGTTTCACGGCCTGTGTGGTTGTGTTTACGTGCCGTCACTCAGCACTAATGTTCAGTGTCCATTTCAAACAAGAATCGGGTTACCTCCACACAAAGGGTTGAAATATAATGTCTCAATACATTTTTGGCCATCACCCGTGTATTCAGTTGATTTCGGTGAAAAGTAATCTTAACGAAAAATGGGTGCTTCGAAAGATTACCTATAGAACCGAGTGGATGGCATTTTTGGAATGGACACTGCCGCTTACAAACTGATAATGAGGTCTGCATTCGTAAGAAACTGGTCAGTTCGTTACAAAATGCGTCGCGAGCTCGCGCTACGACGCTTGTAAAACACACATTGGTATGTGTTTGGTTCGGTACCACTCTTCCAAAAGCAGCACCTTCCTTGCTGGCGCTCTGAAGCAGCGCTAGATAGTCAAATGAGTCGAAAGTCAGGACGGTACGCAAATGCTCTTTATTTTCGTCACCTGAACGAGGCGCCGTGTCAGTGCTGCAAAAGCACACTTAATTCCCCGCCTCAAAAGCTCATACATTGCACCAACTTGGCTGCAGCAACAACAGTACACAAACAACTACGTCGCTCGCACACCCCGACATCATGGCCGCGCTTTAGCAGCCATTGGCTGCCACCGCAAGCCGATCGCCCTGCTGACTGTCGGCATATCATCATCATATCATCATCATATCACCATCACAGTCGCCGTCACCGCCGTCGCCATCACAGTGACCGTCATCACCTCCATCATCGCGGCCACGCAGTCGGGTGGGCGGGCGGTGTTTCTCCGTCACGCGCGCGGTGCCCGGGTGTGGTCGCCGCTCTCAGCCGTGTGTCGTTTCTCCCACATAACGTGGCGCCACTGACACGCGCCGGCGCCGCCCGGCCGGCCGCTAGAACCGCAGCGAGGTAACGCGCCGTCGTCGGCGCGCGTGCGTGCCCGTCTCTCGTCCGATGCATGCTCGCTGTCGCGCGCGCGGCGGCGCTCTGGCCTCGCCCTTCCCAACATGCCGTAGCAAAACGCCGTAGCTTGTCCGTAGGAGGCCGTAGACGCGGCGGTCGCCCGCATTACAACCGCGGGGAAGGCTGGAGGAACCCTATATTGCGCCCTCCCCTCCCGCAACCCACCCATGCTGTCTGCCTTTGAAGCGTCGTGCGATAGTCATGCGGGGCTGAGAGCAGGAAGTTTGGTTTGAAAGAGACTTTTGGAAAGACGAACTGGAATTCGGCACATTCGAAAGCTAAATTGCATATGATCATATCATAAACACGGCGTCGCGACCCGCTTGTCAGTGCTGTAGACTAAAAAGCATTTGTCACGCATACCTAAAGTGGCGTGAGCATGCCAAGCTAAATACAATATCTATATATATATATATATATATATATATATATATATATATATACAGTTCGAGGTACTTTTCTATGCCGCAATTGTATTGCCTGCTTGTCAGTTAGCTGTGTTTGACCCCGTCATACCGTTGTCTGCAAGCTTTAGTTTTTCTACGCCATTTTGTCAGAGACTGCTTCTCTGCATTTGTATATATGGTAATAGCTGTCACCTGGTCCCTTGGTTCCCGCACCGCACATGTCATCGACCCCTCAGATATAACTGTTTCACCTGCCGTTCATATATTTGCCGTCTGTTTTGTCTGGCTCCCATGTATTTTAATACTCCCATGTACTCTCATTTACCTACATTAACTGAGTCCCTGAGATATTTGTCGTTGCGTTCCATCTGGCTCTCAGATGTTTGTGTGTGCGTTCCACGTGCCCCCTAGACGCCAAGAGCGAGCTTTATCCGCTTCTCAGACGTTGAACGTGCGCACGTGCAATCTGTCTTGTGTGTTCATTGCTGCTAATGCGCATATTTTTATTTTCATCCACTTGTTGGCATGCCATTGATGTCAAAGCGGCTCTGAGGAGTATTCCGAAGTTGGGTTTGATCTGATCGGTCCGTTTGGTTTGTGTCACAGCATTTGCTCTGCTGTTCTGTGTCCTTAGCTTCGTTTTGTGTCACTGGACTTTGTGTATGGGCTTACACCACGGCCAGTATCCCATTGGTACCGTCCACACCACAGGGCGACCGGGCCCCGCCCCCCAGGGCACGGTCAGTGACCTGGTGGTGCAGGTGGTGTCGCTCACACCATGGGCTGACCGACCGCTGCCCTCAGGGCACGGCCAGTGACCTGGTGGTGCAAGTGGTGCTGGTGGCCGAGTCGCGCCGTCTGCAGGCCATGCTGGCCACCTATGGTGTGCAGTCGCAGACGCCCAAGGAAGTGGAGCCTGTCCAGATCTGGTCACAACGGCAGCTGGTGGAGGTGCGTGACTGCTCGGACCGGCCGGCCGGACTCAACTCCGGGGACTGCTCGTGTAATAGGCCTGGGGAGATTCTGCACGTATTCGTGAACGCGTCACGAGCCCGCCAATGCCGGCATGGAGCGGAACCTTGTGAGAACAGCAGTGGTGTTTTGCTTTCGGCTTCTAGTCCGGGTTAGCCAATCGCCACGGGTGGGTGGCTCAGCTTGAATCACTTTCACGGCGTGTTCTTGTGTGTCCTGTTCGCTGCTAGTCTTGGAACCCAGTTAATCGTTTTAAAGCATGGAGCAATGCAACATCGTCTTTTGGAATGAAATGGTACAACCTTTCGCTGCAGAGGAAGAGCTTTGTGCGTTCACGCAGCCAAGGCGTGCGCCTTCGTCCCAATCACTCTCGTGACGCCCCCCCCCCTCCCCCGCTGCAGGTGTACCGCAACCTGGGCGTGAATCGCAAGCTGGGTCTGGAGGGCCGGCCCCCGCGACCGATCGGCGCCCTCGGCACCAGCAAGGTAGCGGAGCCGCGCGCCACTCCCTGCCCGGGCACAGCGGGGCGGCCGCTCCCCGGAGTGCGGGCTGAGACAGCCGCCCGTCGGAGTGCGGGCTGGGGCAGCCGGTCCTCGGAGTGGGGACCGGGGAAGCCGCTCCCCGGAGTGGGGTCTAGGGCTTATGGCCAGCGTGATCCAGGTCACGAACTCTAGTGGGAAGAGCGTCAGACTCGAGGGTAACGCAGCTGAAATCGGTGGAGCGCTTCCACCTGACTGATGAGACTGATGGAAGGCGGGTGGTGTTAGATGCTGCGAGGGCCTTTGGGCGGCGACGCCTTCTGTACCGTCTCCCCGATATCCGTCGCTGATACCGCCTCTGCTTTCTTCCCCGGACATCCGTCACTGGCCCGGCCTCCGGTGACTCCTGTTGTATCGGTCGGTGGCACAGCCTCTGACGGCCCCCGCTGGCTCAATGACGTAGTCTCTGACGGCCCTGGCCGTTGTAAACGCCTGACGCTGGCCGGGCCGCCAGGTGTACCGCATCTCGGGGCAGACGGTGCTCTGCTACCCGCTCATCTTCGACAGCACCGACTTCTACCTGAACCACGACATGGCGCTGCTCATCGACGACATCAAGTCAGAGGTGCAGTTCGTTGGCCGCTACTGGCGCCTCTCGGGGCGGCCCACCTGCTGCCTCATCATGAAGGAGACTCACATGAGGTTAGCGCCGGCTGCTGCGCCGGCTCAGGCCGGCTCGGGCCCCGCTTGGGCCCCGCTCGGGCCCGCTCGGGCCGGCTTGGGCCCGGTTGGGACCGGGCGGGGTCGTGGCCGACTGGGCTTTGATGCAGGCCATGACGAGTCGCTGTTACATGTGTGCTCCGTGATTTTGAAGAGCCTGCTGTGATAGCATGCGGGCGATGAAGGGATGATTGCTTAGGAGTGTTTTGTGGAATGGGTTCTTTTCCGGAGCAAACGGAGGACGGGTCTTATTAAACGCCAACTGCCGATACCGTTCTCCTATTCCCCGTCTCCGTTGCGACTCTGACAAAGTTCCATCTCGCCCACGTGTTGCTGCAGGGACGCCAACTTCCGTAAGATGGTGGACCTGCTGGCCATGCTCAAGACGGGCTCGTGTGAGGGTGTGAAGGTCCGCGTGGGCCGCCTGCAGAACCTCATGTCCTCCTCGTGCACCGGTCAGTGGCCGGCTGCCGCGTTCCGGCGGCGCTGCGGGCAGCTTCCTGCCGCAGGCTTGTGGCTCGTTTCCGAGCTAAGTCGATTGTCGGGTGATCCTGTGCTGGCTCTGTGCGAGGTACATAGATCGTCAGTGATTGGGCGCGCTCGCCCGATGTGATTGATCAGTGATTGGGGCGTTGATCGCGACCGGGATGATCTTACACGCGGCTGGTGCCGCCACGCTGGCCCGGGAAGGGTGTTTGCTCGATAAATGTGAGGATAAGACAGTCTTCGCAAGGGTAAGAAATTTGCAACGGCTGCTTCTAAGCGCGATGTCACCAATCGCAATAAATCATTCAAAGCCAGACTGGCCTGTTGCTCACGATCTCCGCCCTTCAGTGCCTTAACGCGTCGCTTGTCGCCCGGCGCGCCTCTGCAGAGCACCTGGACTTCATGGACTCGACGGACGACTGGGGCATGGAGCCGGTGCCGTTCAAGGAGCTGGCCAACAAGACGGTCGGCTACCAGAGCCTGACCGACATCCCCACTGCCATCGCGTACAAGGAGTCTGAGCCGCTCACCATCGAGGTCGGTCGGAGGCGGTCCCCGCTCCGGCGGGTACAGCGGGCAAGGGGCTGGTGCCGTGGCCAACCCCGCGTGCCTAGGCCGGGTGCTGTGTGGCGGGCTGAGGTGTGCTGTGTGATGGGGGGGGGGGGGGGGGGGGGATGGTCTGGAGGACGGCAGGTGTCGGATGGACGCCGTCGCGTGTTGTGTGCTTGTGGGGTGTCTGAGCATCCGGTGGCTCTAATGCCGCTGATGTGACGAGCAGCTCATGCCGGTGAAGTAACCTGATGGCGGTCAGAGACGTCCGCCTGTGATCTAACCTGACGTCATTGGGTCGGGCGCCATGCTTGCCAGCTGGGCCCCTGACGGTATGTGTGACCTGGCCTGACCTCACCCCCCGACCGCCGTCAGAAGCTATATATCCTTTTACGGCGGAGATATTGATGCTCGCGTCTGTTTCTTGACCCTTTCTGCTCCGGACGGGCATCCGAAGCTGTTATCCCCTTTAGCGACATGACTTGACCTGTCCCCGGACCGCTGCAAGTAACGGCATACCCCGTCCGCGACCTGACCCGACCTGACCTGACTCCGGACCGCCGTCAGGAGCTGAGCAAGAAGTCGGACGGCGAGCTGAGGTCGCTGTGGGGCAGCATCACCACGCTGCGCGGCCGCAGCTTCATCCTCAAGCTACTGATGGACCGACACGGCCCCGACCATCAGCTGGATGGACTCTCCGGTACGGGCGACCCGGTGCCGCCGTTTTGGGTCCCCGAGGAGTCGCTGCTGGTGTGACCTGTGTGGGGCTCCCGAGACGTGCGGGTCAAAGTGGACAAGCGTTGTAGGGCGTAGCTTCGCCAGCTGCAGATTGTGGTCGATCGATGTAGTGGGCCGCTGGTGATGCCAGGCTGGTGAACACGCGGCTCAAAATGAGCTCCGTGTTGATCCGGAACCGTTTCTGTGAGAACGCTTTAAGTGTGGCTGGTGCGAAATGCGCACCGTTGATGCGAGCCGCGATTTTTCGGAGCGCATTGCTTCCTTCCCGTGAGAAGGTGATAGGCCCTTCGCAGGCAGTGTCGCTCCGGCGTCTTATCGCCATTGCACGCTACCATTCCGATTCCTCTAATGACCCAGCGTTTGGTGGCGCACGACCCCCGCCGTGTTCGGACCGCGGCGTCTCGGCCTGCGGCCCGGCCTGACTCACACCCGGCTGTTGACCTCGCGCTGACCGCCGGGCCGCCGCCGCCAGTGCACCAACGGCTGGTGCAGCTGAACGGCGAGGCGGGCACGCTGCGCTGCTGGGCGGTGCTGCGCTACTGCTCCAGCCTGCTGGGCCGCGTGGTGGACAGCATCAGCCCCTACCTCACCGCCATACTGGTCAGCGGCAAGCAGGTCAGTGGTGACGTCAGCTGACGGGCCGCAGCGGTGCTCTTGTTTGGTCGACGGACGGCGGCGAGAGACGGGCCCTGGCTGTGACGAGGTGGTCGGGTGGTGTGTGCTGGTCTGCTGATGGAGGCTGTCTTTAGCGAGCACTGTCAGCTGTCAATGATGGCAGTGGTTGCGTCGCATTTCTTTCCTTCAATTACAGTAGACCATTGTTTAGATCTTCCATTACTGCTTCTCCATGGGTGATGTAGTGATCTAGCGGTGAAGTGATCTGACAGTCAAGAGTGTTTGTTAGATATGATAGTATAGCTCGTGATCAAAGGCTCGTGGGTTTGATTCCTGATCGCCGCAGATTTCCGAAAACGATAGCTGGTGCGGGAGTTTTCCGATGCGACTTGCATGAGGGATTCCTTTCGCCCATAAGCAGTCTCGACGTTGACCGCACACGGGGTGCCTGCCATCTGATCCCCGCCCTGTCGTTAGCTGACTCACCACGTGACCCAGGTCTTTTGACTCGATATGTGACCCCCGTGCGCCATTGTTGGCGCTCTGTCTCCCCGTGACCTGGCTGCGGCCTCCGGCAGTCGACATGTGACCCCCGTGCGCCCCAGTCGGCGCCCTGTCTCCCGTGACCTGGCTGCGGCCTCCGGCAGTCGACATGTGACCCCCGTGCGCCCCAGTCGGCGCCCTGTCTCCCGTGACCTGGCCGCGACCGCCGGCAGTCGACATGTGACCCCGTGCACCCCAGTCGGCGCCCTGTCTCTCCGTGACCTGACCGCGGGCTCCGGCAGTCGACATGTGACCCCCGTGCGCCTCAGTCGGCGCCCTGTCTCCCCGTGACCTGGCCGCGGCCGCCGGCAGTCGACATGTGACCCCCGTGCGCCCCAGTCGGCGCCCTGTCTCCCCGTGACCTGACCGCGGGCTCCGGCAGTCGACATGTGACCCCCATGCGCCCCAGTCGGCGCCCTGTCTCCTCGTGACCTGGTCGCGACCGCCGGCAGTCGACATGTGACCCCCGTGCGCCCCAGTCGGTGCCCTGTCTCCCGTGACCTGACCGCGGCCGCCGGCAGTCGACGATCGGCGTGATCGGCCATCCGGAGGTGGTGATCGACAAGCCGATGACGCCGGCCGAGATCGAGGCGCTGTTCTTCGGCTCGGTGCGGCCCATAGACGTGGTGCAGGCGGTGCTGCAGCAGGAGGTGGTGCTCTGCTGCGGCCGGCTCATCCTCACCCGGCCGGACCTGTTCGCCGGCATACTGACCATCCGAATCGGGTATGGCCGCGCCGGCTCAATAGGAGTCGGTAGGGCGGAGGTCATGTAACGGTGCGGGAGAGGGGGGGGGGGGGGCTGCCGGTAGCGTTCTGAAGCTGCCGTCCCATACGTTGTCGGTGGACGTGGTGATAGAGCACGCTCGTGGCAGGGCCAAGTATAGTTAATGGTAATGTGGTTAATGGATGATGTGGTGGATAATAATGGTATAGTTAATGGATGATGGTAATGTGAGCTTTTACGGAAGTGCTGAGGTAGCATTACTTGTGAAAGGAAGTTGGGATTTTTAGGCAATATGGGATTCGGGAGCACGGAAATTTGGCAATTTGGGAAATTTACTATCTTTGGATGTCATTCACTGATTATATTATTGACTTGGTCAGTATTAAACGCTTGACCAAGTGACCTCGATTCATGTGCAGCTCCCAGCATTAGACACGCTGTGTGTGCTCTGTCCCGGCTGCGCCTATCGTTCGTTATCGTGTTGGTCGGGCTCGCCGAGCGTGCCGTGCCGCCTGACGAGCGGGCGTGGCCGTCCGCAGGTGGGTGCTGCAGGCGATGGAGCTCTACAGCCAGATCGAGGGCCGCGACCAGGCCATCTCCGAGATGGCGCCCAACGAGGTCCGCTCGCTGCTCTACAACGTGCTCTCGCTGGGCAGCAACGGCGCCAACATCGGGTGAGACCGACCCCCGCCTGGTGGCCTGGTCGTCCTCTCGGATGGTCCGCTCCCGTGGGTCTCCGCCGGGTCAGGCCATCGGGTGAGACCGCCCCCCGCCTGTTGGCCTGGCCGTCCGCTTGGATGGTCTGCTCCCGTGGGTCTCCGCCGGGCCAGGCCAGGCCTCGCATCGGAGGGTCTGTGGTCTGTCTGCAGGGTGGACTGTGACAGATGGCCTGCGGTCTCACGCCCGACGGCTTGGGCAGCATCCGTGGCTGGTTGCGACACGCAGTCGGTCCAGCGTTTTGACACGCGGACACTGTTTTGGAAACTGCTGTCGGGGAACCCGTACCTTGTTTTGAAAACTGCTGTCAGGCCCTGTCACCGTCTGCTCGTTTGCAGCTCAGTGGAGTAGCGACAACGCCGAGTGAGGTCTGGTTGACCAGCCTGTTTTGCGAAGGGACCCACGCTTGCCTGTTTTGCGTAGGTATCCACACTTAGCCTCTTAAAGGACGTTTGGAAAATTACGTGCTATGATCAGCTAAATTGCAAGCAGAATATGTTGCCTGCAATTTAGAAGCCGTTGCCGCTCTTTTACGTCATGCTTAGAGCTGCAGCGCTGGATCTAGACGTAACGTTGCCTGCGCATTCCTTACGGATCTGTCGCGTCTTGTCGTGCCGTCGCCCTCCGCGAGACGCACCCCCCCCCCCCGCGTGGGGCGTTCCCGTACCCGTCACGTGACGCGTTCCGCCCGGCCCTCGGCAGCATCACGCCGCGCCAGCAGCGCCAGATCGACGGCTGCCTGGGCCGGAGCCCGCGCGACCTGCACAGCTCGGTGTGGTTCATCCTGGGTCGCACCGGCGGCGGCCTGACTATCGGCAAGCGCCACCTGCCGCAGCTGCCCACCGTCACGGACATGACCGTCAGCGAGCTGCGCTTCGCCATCCTCGTGAACGACATGCTGGCCCAGTGCCCGCAGCCGGAGCTGCGTCAGATCGTGGTGCAGGTGAGCGGCGCGCGCCCGACCGCGCAGGCCCAGTGCCCGCAGCCGGAGCTGCGCCAGATCGTGGTGCATGTGAGCGGCACGCGCCCGACCGCGCAGGCCCAGTGTCCGCAGCCGGAGCTGCGCCAGATCGTGGTGCAGGTAAGCGGCGCGCGCGGGCCCAGTGCCCGCAGCCGGAGCTGCGCCAGATCGTGGTGCAGGTGAGCGGCGCGCGCCCGACCGCGCGGGCCCAGTGCCCGCAGCCGGAGCTGCGCCAGATCGTGGTGCAGGTGAGCGGCGCGCGCCCGACCGCGCGGGCCCAGTGTCCGCAGCCGGAGCTGCGCCAGATCGTGGTGCAGGTGAGCGGCGCGCGCCCGACCGCGCGGGCCGGTGATGCGGGGTCAGAGGCGGGATTGGGGATGGATGTGATGTCTGGGACTGGGCTGGGAGTGCCGTGTCGGAGGCTGGATTGGGGAGGGACACAATGTCGGAGACGGGACTTGGAGTGCCGACGTGTCGGAGGCTGGATTGGGGAGGGATAAAATGCCGGAGACTGAACTGGGAGTGCCGTGTCGGAAACCGGGCCTGTGGCGGTTGTTAACGGTTAGATTGAGGAGGGCTCGGCGTCAGAGAGTGGACTTCGGGAGGATGCAGTGTTGGAGACTGGACGAAAGAGCGCAGCGTCAGGGATTTCACTGGGGTAGGCTGTTGTTGCGAGCCGGATTGGGGATCGTGTGGTGTTAGAGGCTGAACTAGGACAGGCTATCTGGCAGAACGCGCACGCAATGTGCTGTAGGTCGGATGTTTATGTTAGTCGCACGTCCGCGACGGCGAAGCCGGACATAGGACAATTTAGCCAAACAGCTGTGCAAAGTTTGGCCAAAGTTTAGCCAAACAGCTAGACAAAATTTAGCCAAACTGCCGTCATGCTACACGGCGGCATGACGGCAAGATTGTGTAGCTGTTGTGTCGGCGATTTGTCGGAGGTCTAAGATAGGAAGCCCGCGTCAGAAGACATCACAAATGCGAGTGCTTCCGGCCTGTCACGTGCTTCGTTTGCTCCCTCTGATGAGCTGGATCTGAAGACTTGTCCGTCACCAGCACCGGACCGTCTGATCCTCCGGACGCCGTTTACTAACGTGTCGTCACTGTTTGTGGACAGTGATTTCCACGTGTCGCTGAGAGACTGTGTGTGGCGCGCGCCGTGCGCCCCCCGCCCCATCCCGCCGCTGCGGCGCCCCGTGTGCCCCGCCCCACCCCGCCGTGTGTGGCGCGCGCCGTGTGCCCCGCCCCATCCCGCCGTGTGTGGCGCGCCCCGTGTGCCCCGTCCCATCCCGCCGTGTGTGGCGCGCGCCGTGTGCCCCGCCCCATCCCGTCGTGTGTGGCGCGCCCCGTGTGCCGCGCCCCATCCCGCCGTGGTGTGGCGCGCGCCGTGTGCCCCACCCCATCCCGTCGTGTGTGGCGCGCCCCGTGTGCCGCGCCCCATCCCGCCGTGTGTGGCGCGCGCCGTGTGCCCCACCCCATCCCGCCGGTGCCCGTGACCCTGGCGGTCGGACTCACGTGACCTGACCGCGTGACCGAGCCGGTGTCCTGACGCAGCTGATCGCGCTGATCGCCACCATCCTGGAGCGGAATCCGGAGCTGGGCTTCCGCGGCTGCATCGAGCTCTCGCAGATGGTGGACGAGGCGCACGCCCTCTACCTCAAGGTCAGTGGCGGCGGCCCGGCCTGGTCCGGCCCCGCGACCGGCGTGTGCGGAGTTACCGGACAGCACGGAACGCTGCTGGGAGTGCCGTGTTACTGCAGTGGGTGCGATAAAGGTAAACCTCTGCTTGAGTAGCGAAGAGGTGTGGAATAATAAGTATCACAAGATATGGACGTTTTCTTTTTCCGCTTGAGGATCTAAATAAGTTTTGAATGACTTGAGCTGACCCCTAATTTCAAGTCAATTCTAGTCCAGCCGATCATAGCATTTGATTCATGTTGCTTCGTGGCAGTGAAAAGTATATAACCGCACGTGACATGTCCCCTTCACTTTGAGGTGCATAATGTCACGTTCATACTGTACTGTTCCTCTCAGAACAAGTTGCTTCCGCGACAAATCTGTGACGTTTGATTAGAAAAAAAATGTTGGTGTAAAAAGTGATTAAAAAAGTGCCGATCCAGCGTGACGGAGATAGTTGGATTAAATATTGATGATAAGAAAGATGTGAGGACAAAAAGATCAAGATGCCACGTGGTGTTAACCTTTTCGATCCTCAATTTTTCTGGGACTATGAAGAGGTAGCCATATGAGCACAGTTGTATGCTGTCTGACACGTCAGACTGCTCTGAACACCCGGTGTTACTGAAGTGTCCGCGCGCTGGCTGGGCGTGTGCTGGTACCGTTCGGTGCCTCCGCCATATGGAGCTGGTATAACGCCATCCGACGGCGTCGCTCAGCTCGGCAAGTGATCCAGGAGAAACTACACACGCTAGGAGCTTCTCTTTACGTTTGTTCTGAACTTCCAATCACTCCAGTCGAGGAGCGCGAAGCCGTAGCTGTACCACGAAACGTGGCAAACGTGGATGAATCCCCCCCCCCCCCCGCTGTCCGTGCGGTGGCACGCAGACCGGAACACTTCTTCACTGTCAGCCTACGATCGTCCACAATGTCATCACATGTTACCTTGTTGACGCTTCCCTGCCAAAACTGATGGCATATTGACCCCATATTCACGTCATATCAGATGCCAGTTAATGTAAACGCATCCGCCGCAGCGCCCGGCGTGAGGAAAAAATCATCCAGCTCATGTTGGGCAAGAACAGCGTGGTACTCCTCACCACTGGTGTTTTGAACTGACAGTCTCAAAACCGACACCTTTTCAGAACTGAGCTGTCTCAGCATTTGACCCGCCCCGTGCCACTACAATGTGACGCCACGATTCTACCGCGCGTCGTGTGCTCCAATGGTTCATGCGTCGTCCAGATATTGTTTCTGGTCACGTTGAAGTTTGAGGTCTGCAGCTGCTCGCGCTCGGATATTCCTTGACGTTCGATTACAACTGGAGTGATGGATCGCGGTGCCAGGCGCCATATTCGCATTTATTGTCCACCAGCAGCTGGGCTGCGTTGGGGATGCGTTTAGAGTTGCTATCTGTGGGATCAACTGCAGTTACGTTTATGTCGTGTTGGGTGGTTCAGAAGTGGGTTCAGAAGGCTTAAAAGGTTCGTTTTCACGTGGGACAGACGTGGAGACTCCGCCAGACTGAGCCGTGCGTGCTCCACTGTCACCCGCTGGAATGAGCGGGCAAGAATGAATGAACCTTCGTGGGGTTTGTGCTGTTTGGCCCGTCTTTATAGAAGCCGTGCTTAGCGTTCGGTGTGAAGGTCTTTTGCGTTACGCAGGAATGTGTCATGAAATCCCTCTCAACCAACATAGCAGTTGTCAACTGATTAGGTATCAGAACTCAGTCAACAATTTCTTTCCCACTTAACCCAGTGAGCAGCATTTTCAATTTTGAAATTAAGGTGGAATTTTCTTTGTTTGGAGTGCGTATTACCCAGGACTGCCAAAATGCCCTAAGCTGCTTTCTTTCCGTTCTGTGCGTTTATGTCTACCTTAGCGACACACGTCCTCCATAACTTACGGGCCGTACCTGTCGCTGCCATGGACATCATAACGCCCGGATACCTATTCGTAATTGAATACCTGTCCGCCCTTGTGTCGCCTCTGCCGTCCGCGGAGATCGCAGAATCGCCGCAGCTCCCCGGCCTCCGTTCGTCTGTCGGGCGTGCCGGTCCACCGCTGCTGGCGCACAGAGACGGCATAAACGGCTGCTGACCCCGCTTGACCCGATAGAACAAGGCGACTGCACGAGTTCTGTATAAATAATTCGGGTACAGATTGTACATTTCGTATGTTTTTCACACCACCCCGTTCTTATTTCATGTGTATCTGCTCTAGCACACCGGGTGTCAGATCAGCAGGGAGTTCGTTCCACCGACGCCGCCGGTGGTGCGGGAACGACCGAAGCTGAAGATGGCTAAGTTGCCGCAGGGCCATCGGCAAATTAAGGCATACTTTGACTTGGTTTTGTGAAATGGACTGATGCCTTTCAGATGGGTTTTCTTTAGTAACATTTACAATATACCAAATTCGTACAAATTGCCGCCGCCACTATCGCAATGCCGTTTGTTTGATATTATCGCCTTGCTCTGAACGTGGACGCGTTTGTCCGTATTTTTGGCAAGATCATCATTTCTTTTTCTTCAGTGACATCCGCTTAGGCAGCTTGTGAAGCGACTGACAACACGCCCTAACATGTACGCCATTAGCTTCCGGCTAATTCCAAGGTTCTAACCGGTTTAGTTGCGGCGATGGCACCGTTGTCTAATGGGCCGCGGATCGATTGTTTTAGCTGACTTAAATTGATCCGCGTCCTCCGTCCTACAACAGAACTCAGCCCTGCAGGATAAGATTGTGCGCCTTGCATCCTGTGAGCTGTGTCTTCCCGCAGTGGCACCCGTCTCCGCCTGAGCCGATGCAGCAGGACATTGTTCCCAGACCCGTGTCTCCCTCCATCGGCACTGTCTCCGCCTGGGCCAGTGCAGCAGGACATTGTCCACAGACCCATGTCTCCCTGCATCGGCACCCGTCTCTACCTGGGCCAGTGCAGCAAGAGATCCCCATACCCGTGTGTCCCTGTGCTCTTACCTGACACTATTCCGCCCGGTGCAAGAGCTCTCCGCCCTGTCCCCCTGTCTCCCTCGTATTGCGTCCTGCCACCGCAGGAGGGCTGTGTTGCGCGGCTCATGTCCCCTCCCCTCAACATGCCCGCCTGACGCCGCCCCTGCCTCCGCAGGACGGCGGCAAGGGCAGCGCCGCGGACCTGAGCGGCTTCTTCCAGCTGCCGCCGTCGGCCACGGCCGGCTACCTGGCGCGGGCCGTGGTGCACCATCTCCTGACGGCGCCGTCCGCCGACGCCGACACCACCGACGGCCCGCAGGCATGTGTCCTCTCCTGAGCCGGCCGGGCGCCGCCAAACGCGGCGACACCGCCGCAGGGCGGCAGGCGGGTGCCCGTCCGGGAGCGTGTGGACCGTGTGCTGGGTGGTGACGCAGCTGGGAGCGGCCAGGCGGGTGTTCTCTCGGTGGCGTACCGCGGACTGTGGGGTGTGTCACTTGTGTGTGGGAGTGAAGGCGTGTGCGCGTCGGCCTCAAGTGCAGGCTGAGAGCCGCGCCGAGCCAGCCGCCTGCGCCGGTGGCGCTGGACTGTCCGGCTCGGCACCCTGCCGTCTCCCGCGCGCGGCGCGGGCTCGGAGCGAGTGGCTGGGAGGGGAGGGACGGCGCCGTCTGGAGTGCTAGGGGGATGAGGTGCCCAGACGGGCAGGACAGACGATGGTGCGTGATGAACGGGTAGCCGATGTCGGGCGAGCAGCTGAGGTCTGGTCTGGAATCCCCAGATCTACGACGATTTGTGCATATGTAGCGCTGCTTCCATTGGAGTGCTGCCGCTTAGATATTAATGCTCGCGCGCTTTTTGTTGTTTTAACCCAGAGGAATGTTGGTAGGTTTCGTTGTAAATGGGAAATTACGTCAATTTCCAGTGGAAGCTAGTCTTCGTTCAGGCCAGACGGGTCAGCCAACAACGGCACCAATAGTCAACGGTACACAGGCGGCCATTCTGTTAACGTAGTTATCACATAGTTGAACGCATTGCGGTTTTGTTAGTCATTATATGTTTATATATACATGGTCGGTTTAAGGTACGCTGCTGTGTGTATGCAATCTTATGATTTAAGCTCTGATATTGAAACGTTACGCCTTAGTTCCGATGGGCGGCGATTTGTGCGTGCAACTGGAACTTGCTTAGGTTAGCAGCCGCTGCCCAGTTCAGGGATATAGCGAGTAGGAAATGTCTGTGCTTCGCATCGCTGCCACTCACAACGGATGCCGTTTCGGTACCGCCTGCACCCTGTAGCATAGATATGTGCCAGTAGCCACGGGCTATGCTGCTGCTGGTCTGCCCTGCCGCCGCCGTGGTGACGCGCGGTGCGAGTCTCTGCCGCCGCGCTGGCGGACCGCGGACCGCGCTGACCGCCCGATGGCCGCCTGTGTTCCAGCTGACCGTCTCCACCGTCCTGAGCTACCTGACCTCCGGCTTCCCTTCCACCGGGGCCAAGCCCGAGCCTTCCGAGCCCCGGGTGATCGTCACTCCCGAGCAGGCGTCCTCAGCCCGGTCCGGCACCTCCGAGTGAGCGCCGCCCGGACCTCCCCTCCCGCCGCTCCTCTCTCCTCCTCGCTCCCGCTCCGCCACGGCTCCCCAGCGTGTCGCCGCGGCGTGAGACCCCGCCGCCGCGCGGTCCCCGGCTCGGCGGCGCGGGTGACCACGCTCCGGTGGGCTCCGAGCGCCGCGGACGGCCGCGCTGCAGAGGCGTGCTGCCCCCGGCGTCCCACGTGCTGTGCTCCAGGGACGGGGTCAGTAACGGGGTGACGTCGCTGTCTCGGGCCGTGCGTCGTCCGTGGTGAAGCCGATGCCGCAGGGCGATACTGTTCCTGCTCATTTTGTGTAGTCAGTGCGCGACTTGGCAGTGAAGCTTGGCAGGGAATGTTCTGTGCAATACAGCAGCCAGTATCAGGAACGGTGTTTGGTAGTCGTCGGTCCCGAGCCTTTCTCACTCTCGGGCTGCAAGGACTTACACAAAGTTTAGGCATACCTCCCGTCGAAGGGGAGTTCAGTCGGTCATCGGTCTTTGTTTGAATGGAGCTGAGCGCTGTTGTCGATAACCGTGAGCAGCGTTGAATTGCGCTGAGGTCGATATTTCTAGGCTCGTGTACACGCTTATAACTGTTTATAAGAACACGTCCACGCTGTGGCTTTACGGTACAGAATCCGTACACGCAGGGTCAAGACAACGTGCACAGCTACACAAAGGCACATTCTGTTAGAATTCCCCATTCAATCATGTAAATGAGATCGAAAAACGCAGCACGAGGGAAGAGGGATCTTCCCTTAGGCAAGCGAATCCAGCCGGCGGCGGGTGGGATGGAGCTGCCACCGGGTGACAGCCGGTCTGACAAGGGGCAGGTGCATTGTACCACACCGCGCTCAGACTCAACAGACTCCTTGGTCACAGACCAGGCCGCCGCGCCGCCGGCGACCCTTCCGGCATGCCGTCGAGATGCCTCGGCACGCCTTCTCAGGAGCGCGCGCGGGGCGCGGGGCGCGGGACGACGCGACGCAGTGCGCTATCCTGTAAGCGTGTGAGCGGGCGTGCTGGCGCACCGCGTCGACCGCTCCGTGCCGCTCCAGCACCTCCGCACGGGTGCGAAGGCTGTGGCGGGCACCAGTCACCAGCGTGGCTGAGGTGTGGAGCGATCACGCTTCGTCCTGGTGACAGCCGGGCGCGCCGGACGGACCGGCAGCGGCGGACGCAGAAGGCGCGCTCCGGACGGGGAGCTGAAAGGCGTCGGGGCTGAAGTGGTGTCGAGTTTTGAACCAAAACCCGATCATCGCGTTTTTACGCCAACCAACAACAGACCTAAAGGTGTCCCAAGTCAGGTGTCGTTCGAGGAGTATGCCCTGCATCAGCGCTGAGGTCGGGGAGGGAAGGATTCTGGCGGAAATGTTTATATTAAAATGCAATTGCGATGCAAAAAATGCGAAATTAAGCAAAAAGCACCTTTAGCTCCCAGTTTTTTGGCATGGGTTTGAAGTTCTTATGCTGAGCTAGCAACCTTGAAGGAGGTGCCGTGACAGGAGGCTAAATGCCATCGCGAAAACATTGATTATATTGGCAGTGCTCAACGTTTCGAGCTGGACTTGCATATAATCACAACTGGAAAAGGTTAAGCAAGGCTAGGCAAAAATTACATTTGAAAGCCAGTACACGTCAATTTGGACACTACATGCTAAGGGCTGCAACAAACGGTAGGCAGGTAAGCGGCATGGTGGCATGCCAAGGGCTGCACCAAACACAGGCAGGTAAGCCGCGTGACTGATAGCCCATACTGTGAATGAGATTCGAGAATTACTTTCCACGGGCATGAGGAAGCACGAGTATTGTCCAAACCTCACACAGTAGTCCAGGTTCCCATGTCATGGCACCCAATACACGGTACTGTTAAGGGTTCCCCGAAACACAGGCGGTTAATCTGAAATGCTTTCGAAGAGGCTTACTGATTATCAGGATAGAAAGACTTGAAAACGGCATCGATGCTCACAACAGATACAGAGGCTGCTCAAATCAGGTCCTATGATGACGTTGGTGTGTTCAGCCTCAGACGAAGATTACGAATGTGCAGCGATTCTATGATATCGAGGTCCGCACTGTCTAGATGTTGCAAACATTTTTATCTTAGCATTTATATTTGCTGCCTTATGCTCCACTGCTGGGTGTCGGTTACCATGTGTTCCTCAACACGCGCCCGGGTGGCCGGTTGATACCCTTAGTTGATACCTTAAAGCAGGCTGGCTTTGACCTTGGTCGGGCCTTCATACCTGACCCTAGGCCAATAAGATTGGCTCATTCAATTGTTGTGTTTCCTGAGAAAGTATCTCGGAGATGCAGGGCTTCATCTAACACTCCGTTGTTACATCAGATCGAACGATACCCCTAGCAATTGGCTGAATTTATGGCCTGACTTTGGCCTGCCATAGGTCAGCGACTTTACAAAGTACATATAAATTTGTGATACCAAACGATCCGCTGCTCAATTGTCTTCCGCTATGTAACATGTGGAGGGGTTACACCGGGCCGTTCTAAAACCATTCCGGAAAAACCTTGGGGGGGGGGGGGGAGCAACCCGAGCGCGTGTTATCCCACCCAGGCGCGTGTTAAGGGGCGAGGATGCTCTCCGTTAAGGTGCGTGCGCAAGGTGTTTGTTGAAACGAGCGAACCGGCACGAATGCTTCGCTTTGTTTCTGCTACACAAAATATCCCTTGGCAAAGTTTACAAGAGATGGCATGCACTACGTTCTTCCGTGCCTGCCTTTTCCTTCCAATCCATGGACATATGTATGAAAAATCCTACACCCGGTTGGACGCGTCGGGGTCTCTAACACCGGTCGCACTAGCACAAATTTTAAACCAGGACCACCAATCCACGCTACCCTAAGATCGTGCAAACCACCACAAACCATCAGACGGTGGCATTGGCTTGTTTGCACAGCTCGTCAGCTGTAAAAGTGAGTTTCTCATATACATGATTTATTTCCTTATCTTTCTACGGCTTTTGCGTGAACATGATGCAGTCTTAAATCAAGAGCGTGCGGCGCAAGCGACAAACCTCACTCGGTGTTCTGGGCATCTGTTCTCAGATGTCCAAGACGGGTAGTATAACGTAAATGTCCCTTCTTGTCCTTGAAAATGAACACCGAGGACACTGAGTGGGGTCTGCCTCTTTTGCCGTACTCCCTTTGATGGATGACTAGTGGCGCGAACAGGTCGATGTCGGCTGAGGATCGAGTGGTTTGCACGGGCTCATGGTATCGTGGACTTGTGCTCCTGCTTTTAAATCCACGCTACTGCGATCAGTACTAGAGACCCAACGTGACCAGCCGGGAGCAGGGTTCGCCACATATGTGTCAATTGACTGAAAGGATATGTACAAGGAAGAATGCAGTACATCATATATGTCACCTCTGCCCAGGGATCTTCTGTGCAGGAAATGCAGAGCATAGCATTCGTTACCGGTTTAATGAACACCTTGGGTCTCCAAATCTACGGAAAGTACGCACACTACCAGAGGAGCGCGCGGTAGACCGACACGCAGCAACGGAGCACAACACAAAACCCACCTTTTAAATATGTATGCTAACAGCTAAAGACAAAGCGAACCTCAATATCTTAGAATCACCGCACGTTCGTAATCCTCGTCCGAGGCTGAACGCACCAACGTCATCATAGTACCTGGTTTGGGTAACTTTATTTGCATTATACACGCGCAGAAATGGCTCTATGTTCGTTGTGATGAACATTGATGCCTGCTTTCTTTCTATCTTGATACTCAGCAAGGGTGATCGAAACCTTTCGGCCCAGCCGTCTGTGCCTGTGGGGTAGCCCATAGCAGTGCCGTGTACTGGGTGCTAGGACGTGACAACCTGATTTCCTGGGATGTTCGTGAGGCTCAGGCAATGCTCGTGGTTCGTCATGGTTGTGGCAAGCAACTGTCTGGTCTAATACTGGGTATGGGTCATTGTAACCTTCCGGCTAAGCCGACCGACCGGGTTCCTTGCAGTCCGTGTCACAGAACTGTGTGTCGTGTGTTAGGATGTGAACGTTCGGATGCTTTATGAAGTTTAACTTCCTTTTAGTAGAAATATTTGCACAGATTCTAGCTTTTCGCACGTCACGTGTCTTGATTTCAAGTGCAAGTTTTTGCTCAACCTTGCTCAATCCTTCTCACTCGGGATCATATGCGCAGCTTGAAACATCGAGCACTGTCAATACCACTCGTGCTTTCTCTTACCACGTCGCATAACCAATACCTCCTGGTATATTGGAGGCCGACAACTCTGCATGAGAGCTCTTAACATAGAGCAAATTCTCAGTTTGCGTGGTGCACGACTTGAATCCGGTCAGAGTTAAGCCGATGTTGTCGGTGGTACATGGTAATGCAAGGCTGCGGTCTCCCAACGTAAATTTATGGGTATGGCCTAATTCAGGGCGCAAGAGTTGCTTTTCGCACCAGTCTTTCCGAGTGTCCTACTAACTGACACGTGGATTGTTTATGCTGACCCCATTTCATCGCTGTGTACCTCGTGAAAACATCCCTCCGGTTTCTGCCATGAGGTAGTTCAACAGTAATAAGCCCCATTACTTAAGTATGCCCCTAGGAAAGCCAATTACCCGTATGCCGCTGAGGTAAAATTATCCGCGTAATTACGGCTCCAGCAGACGGACTGCTGCTGCAGAATGATCTTGATCATCTGATAGCGTGGTCGGTCAGGTGGGGGCTGACCACACCCCTGTACAATGTAAAACGTTCGCGATGCCCGTCAGGCGTGCCCCGTCCAGACGTAGTATTGTATCCATAGAACTGAATTTGAACATTTGTGTAAAATCAGGGACCTTGGCGTACCGCCGTATACCAAACTAGCCTTCGCTGCACATGCCTCTAACATGGCCAGTATTGGGAACCAAGTGCTCAGCCTCCTTATTTTGTCTTTCCAAGTCGGCACCAGCTACGCAAAATTCAACCGAAGCGCTGTGACTGCTTATTTTCCAAAGGTGCGATGGGTTATAGAATATTACTGCGTGGTCTGGGCGGGGGTGGTCAATTACCACGCAGCGCGGCTATATCGAGTGCAACGCAAATTTCTTGCTTGGTTACTTACGCATTCT